TTTCAAAAGATGACGACACGAGGCAAAACATTGCTAATTTCTTTGCTAATTGCTATTTTCAGCCATGACTGCCCTTGGGGACAGAAATATTTTCACAAGATATTTTTTTTAGGTCGTCTCGTATCATGTTTCCCAGGAGTTCACAGTCATCGCAACAGCTGTCTGCATCCAACCTCAAAATAGATGCCAGTTTAAAAGTGCCACCAGTGGTTGCCTCTAATTTTTTTTAAATTGTGCATTATTAATTATGGCCTATGTATTTATTGTAAGCATTCTGTCCTTTCTGTGAAGTTATTCGCATTGTAAATGTCATTAAGGCCAGCGCTTAGCTTGTGAGTCTGAGTATTTAATTAAAATGTATTTTTTAATTTATTTTGTTCTTTTTTAAATAAAATTCTAAATTTGAAGATTATGATAATCTTGTTACATGTTTTTTGTCGCTCAAAATATGCGTTACATTTGCCGATGTGCGACACCCGCCACATTTATTGAGCTTCTCGACCGCTGGTAGGTAAATGATGGATAAATCATAGAAAAGAAAAAGTTCCTGAAGAAAACAGATTGTTTAATGGTACGTGAGCAGATTCTTCTGAGACCGTTCCGTTCTTGCGTAGAATCACAAATGGAGTATTATTGAAAACCTTCCCAAACTGGAAAAACTAGTGTTTGAACCATGGGATGCCATTCTCGACACTTACATGAACATGAAAAGGCATCTTCTGATCTACATACATACTGTATGTGAGCAGGTCTTCTCCCGCATGAACTATATTAAAATCAAATATCGCTCACACCTCACAGATGTCAACTTACAGTGAAGATAAAGGTGACGTCTTACAGCCCTGATGCACAGACACTGTGCGCTGAGGTTCAGGAGCAAAAATCACATTAACCAGGAACAAAAATATTTTTATTGGCTATTATTTTCCATATACTATATATATATATATATATCTGACTGCACGCTGCAGTACACGTGATAAAATGATGGAACACAGAAGCAGACAGCAGTTTTTGTTCGCTGCGGGTGGATAATTTAAGTTTGGATTTTTATTCCTCAAATATTTTGTGAAAGTAAGCATCAACCATGTGTTTTTTTTTTCAAGTTCAAAATGTTTTTGTTACATGCAGAAAACAAATTATGTGTGCAGCAGTTCATTGATTTCATAAATGCAACACATTATAGTTGTTTTATACACAGTGTATAACACAGCTGTAAATGTAAGATGTACAATTACAGTTGTGTTGTCTTCATATAAGGTTTATATAAGGCTTTTAATTTTTTGCAGCTCTAGACAGATTTCTTTTTTGTTTTTTTGGTCTAATATGACTGTTTGAACATTTTGGGCTGCTGACCCCTGGGCTATTTGATCAACTGTGCACTGACAAGGGAGCAGAACACACGCTGTTACTGTTTCACATTGAAGTACGCTGGTTGTCCAAGAGTTTTGACCAGAGTCTATTCACTCATGATTGGTTTCTCAGTTTGTCTTATCTGGCCGATATCTTTTCACCCCTCAATGAACTGAACTTGAAATTACAGGGAGGGCACGATAATGTTTTCCTTAATTGGCGACTCAGAAGGCCAGACCCAAGTTACTACATGTTCCCACTGTGTTGCAGCACGTATAGAACATGATGTTGAGGCCACACATACGCTTATTGAGATTTTTGATTCCTATTTTACATCAGAGAGGTATTCCATCCTCAGTGACAAAAGGTGGAAAAATCCCTTTGAATTTAAGAGCCCGGAATCTTTGCTTGAGTTCATGCTTAGTCCTGCAGAAGAAGCTGAGTTGTTGCCGCTCAGCTGCGATCGCACTCTGCAAAGACATCGTGGATCTGTGATTTTATCGTCATTCTGGATAAGTATTTCGACAGAATATGATGTCCTCACTAGGGCCAATATTTTGGTGTTTATTCCTTTCACGACCACATATATGTGCGAATTGGGATTTTCTGTGCTCACAAAAATGAAAACCAAGCATAGAAACAGACCGAATGCTACGTCTGATATGCGTGTTGCACTCTCCTCCTGCACTCCACACTGGAACATGCTACAAAACTGCAGACAGGCCCACCTATCTCATTAACAACGTTTTGTATAATTTGAAATCTTTTTGTAATCGTTTTATTGACAATTTTGTTCCGATATTGATGGTTGAATTGAATGTTGAAAAGAAGTTTTTCATTGTTTAAAAGTTGAGTAATACTAATTGTTCAGATATCACTTGGTCAACAATAAAATATCCTCATTAATGTTCAATAATGGTCAAGTACACCTTTATTTTGTGATTTGCGAATAATGTCTTTTGACTTGGGTCGCAAAGGTTTGTGACTTTTAAAATATTGGTTCCCAGAAAAAATGTTTGGGAAACACTGCTGTAGAGAGCTGGTGGCGAGTGGCAATTGGTCAAGCTAACGAGGTAAAGAAGTGCACTATTTACAGGTGGCACTGACTATGGGAATCCCAAAACAAAACAATTGACGAAAAAAAAGGTTCCAAAAAACAAGCAAATACGAGCACGAGCACAAGCAAAATTACAAGGAAGGAAGGAAAGTTCAAAGTTTGCAAAAGACAGAGAAATTTACCAGCTGAGCATGTCAAACACTCTGCCAATAAGTCCTTGTGGAGGTGGAGCTTAAATACTGCATTTCCTTCTGATTGATGGCAACGCCCACCGGTGTTCCAGCTCGTCAGCTACCAACTCAGTGCAGCTGTGGAGAAATTGCGCACGCTCTCTCTCTACACACACACACAAACACACCAGCCCAGAGCACAATACAGATACACACAACCACAGTAAAAGTAGCAAAACCCCACAGGGAGCACCTTTTAACCCGAAGAATACGACATGCAAATTTGTGAAGCCTTCCTCATTTTTTGATTCAGTGGTGGCTTGGTGGTTAAGGACACAGAGTTGGGTCTGGAAGGTTTCAGGTTAACCACTGAGGAGCACTAAGCTGCATACACTGCTCCCCTGGCGCTTAAAGCTGTCTCATGCTGATGATGGGTTAAAAGCAGAGGTCACATTTCATTGTGTGCAGTGGTGTGACAAATACCGTAAATTCCAGACTATTGAGCACACCTGAATATAGGAAACACCCACTAATTTAAAAAAAAAAAAATTGTACATATTTAGGTTGCACTTCTCTATAAGCCGCATGTGCTCATGTTCTAACATGAGATATTTACAAGGAAAGATGTTACACAGAAAGATTTTTTTTTTTCACTTTTAATTAAATAAATGTTTTTTTCCGAACACTGCCTGTAACACGGCTGGTTACACAGTAGCTCTTTCCAGCTTCTGCGCCCCTACCGTAGTTGGAATGCACAGGGGAGACTTAGTGATCTGCTCCAGGGCCGAAGCTAACATTAGCTCCGAGGCTAACTTCCTTCACTTTGTGCTTGTCCGCAGCAGAGGTGAACAGAAACAGGGGAGTTGGGGTCTTTCTCAGCCACACTGAGCACTACAGAACTTAAACGGTGTTTGAACAGTTCCTGTATAACCCACTCACACTTCAACATGCCATTAACAGACAGACATAGGCTACTAGTATAATACACAGTAGCCAACAAGAAAGCTCATTGAGCGCTAGCGGTATGAACTTCATTAGTCTGTAAAAATCCATAAATTAGCCACATCATTGTTTAAGCCACAGGGTTCAGAGTGTGTAAAAAAAGTGCAGCTTATATTCCAGAAATTACAGCAATTTACTTTCACTTACAAGAGTTAGAATTGTGCTGCTAAATCATGGAAAATACAGGAAAATACATACATAAGGGGGGATTTCAATAAAATCAAAAGAATCAATTAAACTAAACATAGAAGACAGAATTCTAATAATGGTGATGATAATGGTGATAATTCATATATTTTTGTAATCTTAGAGAATGCTTCTGCAAGGAACTATTCCGTGCCTTCACCTGCAGCTGTAGAAAAACAAAGGAGACACAGAAAGAAGCTACCCGGACACTCTCTCAAGACTGGCTGTCCAACTAGATGGGTGTCTCGGCAGGACATTATTGACCGGATCCTCAAACAGCAGAAGCCAATTTCCCAGATCCTCTCCCAATGACAGAAAAACAAGAGACCTCATTCCCTCCTGGCAGGACATTGATGTGTTAGAGGCTATTAATAAGTACCTCAGCCCTCAGGTTGAATTTATGGACAAACACTCTGGTGAGAAATGTGTAAGTGTGTCCTTTTGTCATGTCAACTCTCCACCTTCCCAACTACTCCATATTGGCACTGCAGGAGGACGACGGATCTTACCGGAAGCATTAAAAAGAAGATAATGGGCTATTTCAATGAAAACTGTGCTGACGCCCCAACACAAGAGCTGCTTGACTGTGGCCTCTGCCCTTGACAAGGTTCAAGGTCAAATATGGGAAGACAATCAAGGGTCAATTGAGGCCAAACTGACACCTGAGATTATGACTGTTTTTGTAATTATAGTAATCATAATGGCAATAAAATACATGTTTATCAGTATATAAATATTGAGTCATGTTAATGTAGTGTAAACAAATTAATTGTGTATGTCTAGTTATAAGATCTCATAACTACAATTTTCTTCAATTCAAATTTTATTCATATTTGATTCAAAACATTTTCCCGTCAAAGGAGAAGACCCTGTTGAAAAAGCAATGACTCCTGCTGAGTGTGCTGCTGGGGTAAAGAAGGAAGGAAGGAAGGAAAGTGAACTCCTTGTCATTGTGACATATATCACTTCACACAACAAAATTTGTCCCCTGCATTTAACCCATCACCAAAGTGAAAAGTGGGCAGCTTTTGGGTGCTTCCTTAACCACTAAGCCACCACTGCTCCCAGAAGAAAGAAAAAGATGAAGGCACTGCATTCATACATACAAATAAAACTCATCATCACAAATCTTATTGACTCTGTGTTCGCTTTTGGGTTCACTACAAAAACTCAAACACGTACGCAAATAATTTTGACCAATGTAATCGTCTAATTTTTTCTGTGTCCCGCAGCCATTGAAACACAGAGCACCAGTTCTGAAGAGCTTGTCCCTAGCCCACCGTCTCCGCCACCCCCACCAAGGGTCTACAAGCCCTGCTTTGTCTGCCAAGACAAGTCTTCAGGATATCACTATGGTGTCAGTGCCTGTGAGGGCTGCAAGGTAAGGTGAAGTGATGTGCGGTGCAAACCCCCACCCCCGAAGGTCTACAGTGTCCCACTTCTTTTTATGGCAGTGATACAATGTCGACACAATTAAGAGTGAAAGTTTATCCAATGCTCGGCCCCCGACACTAGAACTCCAGCCAATCCTGTGACGACATAACACACACTTCTAAAGAGCTTGACAGCCAGTGGATGGCAGATGCAAAGTAAGATATGTGAGACCCCGAGAGGAGGGAGGGTGGATACAGGTGGTTGCCAGGTGGATGAGGTTGGGTTGTTGTTTAAAAATTAATCAGCGGCCCTTTCGTTTTTAATCTGTAAATGAGGAGGCCTAAGATGGTGTAGCTGTCACTCTTACACGTTGTCCCCGGCCCATTAGGATAACAACATGATGGATAAAGACCTTGTTTAGGGAACAGTTGAGCAGACCTGGGGGATGTGGCCTCATTTCTCAGGTGACTGAGGTTGTGTTGTCTGATTCCCCAACCTTAAGTCAAGACAAACAAAATCACAATCAACAACGCCTTGATTCTAGAATCCCAAAAGCAATTATTGTTCTTATTTATTAACTCTGTTAAGGACATTTTGCTTTGAGACGAATACCATTAAATATGTAAAAACAAACCTGATAAAGCTTTTGTTACAAATACACTAAACAAATAGTAGCCTTTTCAGTTTTCAGTGTTCCTTGGATTAAGTTCCTTGTTCCTGCAACCCAGTGAGTGCCTGATTTCTGACATGGCTAAATGTGAAGTAGCATTTAGCTTTATTTACTATTAGGAAAAAATATTAAGGTTATAGGTGTTGTTTTTAAGGACATAGTTCCATCACTGGGTAAAATAAAAAAAATTACATGACATGCGATATGTCTTACATATACAGCCTACTGACAATACAGTATTAAATGGTAGGTTAAATGGTAATGAGGTTTCAAGATGTGAAAATATATATTTAAAAACATTTTATACACAGTCATGTTTACTACAACTACCAAAATGGTCATTCTGATCATCAATACATGTAACCGTGACTTGACAAATGCAACTGGCCAACACTACTAAATAGCTTTCTGCTCATCGTGCTCTTAACTTCTTCAGAGCTTCCGTGGTGCTAGAAAAAGAGCCCAGTCAGCGCAACCAATTGCTGACATGAGATATGCGCATGCAACAGAAATTTATGCAATCATTGTTTTTCCTTGGTTTCTCAGTGCATCGTTGCCTTCAAGCCTGTTATATAATTTGTCTCGCAACAGAGGGAGAGGTGATGGAGGATTACATTCAGGAGTATTTAGCAGCGGGGCTCATTTGCCTGTTCTCTTGTGTCTTCCTTGCTAGGGTTTTTTCCGGCGAAGCATCCAAAAGAACATGGTATACATGTGTCACAGGGAGAAGAATTGCATTATCAACAAAATGACAAGAAATCGCTGTCAGTACTGCCGTCTGCAGAAGTGCTTCGCAGTTGGAATGTCAAAAGAGTGTGAGTTTACAACACAAACTATAAGGTGTACTAACAGACTCTTTAGAATTCTGTGTAAATTATTCAAGCATTTTTTTTATTTTAATTAATTCCTGTTATGCACTTAAACACATAATGGCCATTTATTTCTTGGGTGACATGCTACTTTCAAGAGTTGCTAAAGCAGAATATTCCCCCCACACTCACCCTATCTCACCCTCCTGTATTGCTCACCAACTATCTCCATCTATTACTAAATCTAAAGATTGTCTCTATGGTCTTGGCCTTTGCTCTTGCCAAAAGGACTAAGACCTCGCTCCATCTACAATTTTTATATCTATTACATATAGTATAGATCTAGGTCTGACTTTAAAAGATTATTTTCTGCCGCTTTTACCACAAACCTCAACACTTGTCCAGAGGTGTGGACTCAAGTCTCATGACATCGATTAGAATCATAAATTTGATGACTTTGGACTTAGCTTGACAAAGAGTAGAGAGCAACTCAACTTGGACTTTAACATCAGTGACTTGTGACTTAACTTTGAAACAACACGTCCTTAACTCCTTTAGTTGACCTTTGGATATACGTGATCCGGTGGCTGATAATATGCCTCAGAGATAACTGCTTAAAACGATGCCAACAAATGTCATACACAACAACAAATCTACTACCCACACATACAGACTAAAGCACACACATACACACAGACGCAAAGGCATATTATCAGCCGCTGAAAGAATACATGCTTAAGATTACCACCAAATTATACAGTGAAAGAGACATGAGGGATTTAATTATTTTTTTCCTTTTTAAGAAAATCTTTTTGTAACAGTTGCTTTTCTTTCTTTGAGATTGACATAAAAGTGACATGTTCACATGACATAGCATTGTTCATTACCAAACCTTTTATTAAGTTCTTCCGATACACCACTACAACTTTCTTTCACAAATTACCGGATTTTCCGCACTATAAGTTGCCCTGGAGTATGCATCGCACTAGTCAAAAAATGCATAATGAAATAGAAAAAAACATATGAAAGTGGTAGATACTGGTACACAAACCTAGAGTGCCCTAGTGTGAAAATAATGAACATGTTAATTTTCAGCAGTACAGGAGTAGAAAATACTTTTAATAGGTTTGGAGAAAAAGCTAGAGAAGCCAGATTGCGATGGACACGTTGGTAGAAGAATGTTAAAGATGGAGCTACCACGTAGGAGACAAAGTGGAGAGTGGATGCAGTGAGGGAGGACATATAGTGGCAGATAGTTGGAGTAGAAGATGCAAAGAACAGGGAGAGATGGAAATCAATGATTCACTGTGGCAACCCCTGAAAAAAGGGACAAAGCCGAAAAAAAAAGAAGAAGAAGACAGGAGTAGCAAATACTGTTACACAAGGCTAGAGTGCCCTCTAGCAGTTGTCAATGTGTAAATAACAAACATTATATATTTTAATAAATAGTCGCAAACCCAGCCAAAGGATGAAAAAAAGTGCAACTTATAGTTCTGAAAATACAGTACAAGACTTGAAGTTAAACAATGCATTTTTTTTAACACAAATAGTCTCGCTTTTAAATTTTTCCTCCCAATATCCATATAGACCATACGTGTCAAACTCAAGGCCCGGGGGCCAAATGTGGCCCGCCAAGCCGTTTTGTGTGGCCCGTGGAAATTTAAAAAGCATTTAGTAAAATCCATGTAGCAGAGTTTCTTAACCCAAGAAATTAAAATATTTATAATCAATCAAATAATAATCAATTGTAGAAACATGGATTAGTCTGTTATGGAGTAGTTACATCTACACCAGAGGTTTATGTTCCAAGGATTGGTCAGCCAGTACCAGCAGAGCATTGAAGGATCATTACATTTTCAAATCAAAACCTCTTTTAGACTCTATTCTGTTTGTATCAGTCTGAATGACCTATCATTTTAAAATACTGCCAGATAATCTTTAAATAAAGTAAGTAAACGGATATGACTGGATTTTCTTTGAATGAAGTAAATTAGTAAAAAATTAAGTAAATTTTTTTACTGTGTCTCACTGCGGCCCGGTACCAAATGACCTATGGACTCGTACTGGTCCACGGACCAGGGGTTGAGGACCCCTGATTTATACAGTCTTCCATTTACAACCGGCCCTTTAAGGGGAACTGTATTGCTGATGTGGCCCCCTGGTGGAAATGAGTTTGACACCGCTGATATAGACTAAATGATCAATTCAGTCACTTGAAATCACTGTTGGACATTTTTTTTTTCTTCACAGCTGTTCGGAATGACAGGAATAAGAAGAAAAAAGAAAGCCCAAATCCTGACCTGACAGAAAGATATGAATTGACAGCTGAGCTGCAGAGTATCATTGAAAAGATTTGCAAGGCCCATCAAGAGACTTTTCCTTCCCTCTGCCAGCTTGGCAAATACACCACGGTGAGTCATGGTCATGCAGAGATGGGACATACGTTTTGTAAATGATGGGTCACTTTTTACCTAGCTAAAAATTAAACAAATGTAAATGTCTTATGCTTCTCCTAAGGTACCTTATTTTTCTTTTGTTTTGGGAGAATAAAATCAGGTATTATCAGGAAAGTGGCAAGGAAACCAAAAACTGCTGGAACATCTGCGGTGACAAAGAGTGAGTCGAGTGGAGCTGTATACACTATGTAGTGGGTGGAGCAGATGGTATCAGTTGGGTTTTTAGGGGTGTGGCTTCAGGAGGGATTGAGCAGAGGTGGAATTTTTCCATTGCATTATCTTCCTGCGCTCTGTTTGAACAATGTCACACAGGTCACGTAGTGACATGGCACTTTGGTTTAAAAGCGGGTCACTCACAAGCATACCGCCATCGACAATACTGGAGTTTGTGGTCTCGAAGTATGACCAGTGACTTCTAGAAACGCTTCATTAGTAGGGACAACTTTTGCAAAGAAGACTGAAAGGCAACAGCAAAAACAAGAGACGAGAATTAGAATTTTGTCAGTCTGTTGCTAATATTCTGTGATACGTTTTATTCATTCAGTAACTTTAGTGTAAAATAATGTAGGTGCAATGGGTCGAGTGCTGCTTAGGAGCACTCTGTGTTATTAACCAGTCTCAAATTAATAACACAATCAGTCTCATTAAAGTTATCTTTAATTATTACGTTAACCTACTAATATGGCAATGATGTATTACTTGGAGTATTACACGTATACTACAATCAATAGGATTTAATAACCATTAAATATCTGAAGTATTTTTAGAGTTCTTGGCAAATTGGGTGGCTTCGATGAATAAAGTAACAACACAGACAAACACAGTTTACAAAAATAATCAAATTTATTTATACAACACTGTCAAGTTAAGAGAGAGAGAGATGTTGCCTCTCAGCTACCAAGCAAGCGACTGAGCCCTTGAGGCGTGTTCACATACGCGACTGCGCAGTGGAAGAAGAACTGCGAGGTAGAAGGAACGGCAACAGGAAACACGTGAGGCGTGTATGCGCTCACGGAGGTGTGAATGGGTGTTGTGTACGCGCACCAAGATGCGCTCAGGTACAATGAAACAGTGCTTGTGATGTTATCAAAGTATATGGGGGAAGGGAGGCGTACCGCGTGGTCTACTCCAGACAAAGGACTTTGTCGGAGTTTTCCTGATCCCAATACTGATAACGTTACAAGTTAACACTGAAATACTGACGGTGTACAAGAGTATAAGACCGAGTCAGGAGGTTAGAAAAGAAGTGCATGCAACAGCCTAGCTATAAAAGCAGCACAGATTTCAGACAACAAAATTCAATATGCGTACTTAAACTGTCCCTAAGTTTAAATAGCACTTAACAATACTACAGATTAACTAACGTGCCCAAATGCCAGCCTTACTGTAGTGAACGTCTGCTCGTATTTAGAGGGTAGTGGAAAGTCCGTGCTTCTTGGGTCTTTGCCAGAGCTGGGGACGTCCGTCTGGTTCCACTGTGTCCAGAGAGTCCTCTTGGTTCCGAAAGTCCGTTTCAGGAGGAAAAGTCTCTGACTGTCGATGTGCCGGTTCACACGAATACCGTTAGAAGGAATCCTGTCGCTTCTAAACTTTCCAATAACTGCTTTGGTCGCAGCGCTACGTTACTTGTGTAACTTAATTACCGGTTAACTCAGTTAAGAAAAAGACGCTACTAGTGCATTTATCACCGTGGGCAATGATGTCTACAAAAGCGAGTTGATTCTTAGTCTTCTGAGACGAGCAGGTTTCTCTTTTCATCAGGGGTCCTACGGAGAGAAAGTCCTGAACAGAGAGACTGAAATTGGGGCTGACCCCCCAATTTAAAGGTTGCGGAGGTCAATGATCGTGACCTATGTGGATTTACTAGAAGCAGTGGAATTATGGGAGTTAGAGTCGTTAAAAGTTAAAAGGACTGTGGTACCTACAAGCATAAAGTAAAACAAATTTAATATACAGGAAATAGACTACTAGTTTCCATGTTTATTTCTACAGTGGAACCACCAGTGGAAGGAATTTTTTACATAATTTGGAAAAATCAAAAGCCAACAGTCTTTGTCTTTTTCTTTGTCTAATTCAATTGTTTGAGACGACTGACACCCTGTTAGGTGGGTTCACTTTTGAAAACTGAAACAATTTTTCCCATAGAAATCAATGTAAAATTGTAAAATTACATTTAAACTGGGCCAATGTAATGTGCTTGGTTTCTTGTAGAATTCTTTAAACCTTGATAGCTCAGTGTAATTCCAGCACTTTCACTTTTAATTTTTCTTCATCATCCAAATCTTTCTCCCAAAAGGTATTTTCTTTACAACACGGTCATTTTGCAAAACTAATCTCTGAAACAAATAGTAAAAAATGTAAAAACGTGGTATCGAAATAAGCTTGAGTTGGATCTCATTGAACTAGTGGTGTAACCACTGATAAAGGCTTAATGTGAATCAGTGGTAATTATATGCTTGTTCAAAGGCTGTGGGAATTTTCTTATTACTAGCAATCGGACCTGATATGCGTTTTGAGTCATCATTGGTAGAAACAGAGGAGAGTTCCTGCACACACAGATTAAGTTAAAGCTTATTATAAATTATTATTCAAATTCTAGTATGCAGTGATTGAGAAGTTCATAGCTAGGTTAGCCAAGAGAGCTGCAGGAAAAAGGGGGCTTATCTCCACAACAAGTAATGTTTAATTGACAATAATTGTGAAGAAAACTTTTTCCAGGCACTCTCTCCCTTCATGGGAGTGAGTGGGCTCCAGCTGCTGTACAAGACCCTGTCTATATTACAGTTAATCATCATGATTAATCCTAGATGTTGGCTGCTTTTCATAGCTTTCTTTATCCTTACACCTCAGTCTTCTGATGTACTATAGGAATTATGTTTCAACAGTGCCATTGCATTCCATCTGAAGCAGCACTGTGCAGTGCGCCCCCCACACCTCCCCACACACAAAATCTCATTCCTGCCAACTGACCAAAGTTGCAAATTCTAGCATAAAATGGACAAGTTTGATAGCAGAGGATGAAGCATCGGTGTGTGTGTGTGTGGGGCACGAAATTTTACTATGAATCAGAGAAAGTTTTAGAATTAGCATAATTTCCAAACTATTGAGCCCAACTAAATAATAAAAAAAAACTTGTACATATATAGGCCACACTTCTCCATAAGTCGCAGGTGTCCACGTTGTAACGTTGGATATTTACACAGAAAGATTTATTTCTCCATGTTTAATTAAATACATGTTTTTTTCTGAACAGTACCTGTAATACGGTATAATACATAGTATCAGTAATAATCATTATTGATTTTTCCTCCGATAATAAAATCTAATCAGCGTCGTCAAATCTGATGGCTTAAAGTAGATTAATTTATCACCCCAAGCCATGTCTACGGAGCCCCTAAAGAGACATGGGGGAAAAAAAAGAAACGTATCTCGTGCTCACGCGCACGAAATACTTTCTCGTAAGCACGAGAAAGTATATCTAAGGCATTTTGCCATACATACATACACGGTAATACATTAAAAAAACTCAAAACAACGGTTGGGGAATCTAGGATACCGGCATGTCATGCGTAACATATGTACTGTATATAAGGTGAGCATTTAATTAATGTAGGATACCTCATTTAGACACAGGAGGGAACTGTTGTTGTTGTTCTAGTGTTGATAACAGTGTAGGGAGGTTCGTGAAGGGTAAATACGTATATACGTAAATCATCTTCATCCTTCATCCTCCTCATCCTTCTGAGAGTATGCATACTATAATAAAAATCTCATCCACAGAGCCCAATAATTGTAAAATCTCACCATGCCTCAAGCCAAGCATAAAGTACAATTCAACTGAATCGTCTAAACGAGCCATATTCGTGGCTCACAGGTAGACTTTCATCATTTCATTAATTTCAATTTTATTTATAGAGCGCATTTCATGCACAAAGCAAACTCAGTGTGCTTTACAGACATCACGTAATTACGTGAAAGTTATCACGAAATACACTGGTCCTTCTCCTATCGCAGTAGTTGCGATAGGAGGGCACAACAACAGTGCCCTCCTGTGTCGAACTGAGGTATCCTACATTAATTAAATATCCTATACAGTACATATGTCACGCATGACATGCCGGTATCTTAGATTTCCCAACCATACGTACTGTACATGATTGTTTATTTTAATGTATTACCCTGTATGTATGTGGCAAATTGTCTTAAATATACTTTCTCGTGAGCACGAGAAAGTATCTCGTGAGCACGAGATACGTTTCTTTCTTTTTCCCCCCCATGTCCCTTTAGGGGCTCTATACAAGTCTCTCGGAGCGATTATCTGAAGTACTGACGCATCATTTCACGTGCTCACCTGTGCATCTCCACCACAAGGAGTCACTGGTGTAAAGTCAACAGACTTATGTTTACATGTTCAGTTTCAAACGCAATTGTTTTGTTTGTGCAATACACTGTTTGTTTGCTACTAGCTAGCATGCTAGCATTAAATAATTGATATAACTCAGTGCATGCTATCCTGCTGTTTGTGTTTCATTTTATTGGTGCAGTTACTGAAACCGGCTTAATATGGCACAGCCCCATCTACAGTATTTTTAACCAGCTGCCACTGCTTATATTCTTGCATCTGCTTAATTGACACCTAACTGTCTCATATACACAACTGTCGTTTCTAGCTCTGTTCTCTTACAGCACATTAATTCCCCTTTTTTCCCCATTTTCTATTCTGGTCTTTTACTGCTTGTGTAGTTTTGCGATAGTATGGCTGTGTAAATGACAGCTCTAGCTTTAGTATTGTGTTCCCTGTCACAGATCAGTTTCTGCATGCCATCATTGCATAAGCATCCCACTGGCAGTGCTATGCTCATTATTGCAGGACCTGGCTGCAAGCTTGGCTCAGCACACTGCCGTCATTACAACAGGGCTGCCAGTATTTTTGAGAGCTCTATTCTTTTTGGAGCCTATTTACTGTGGGTTGCTGACACATATAGAGCAGATTGAAGCGGAGGAGGTCATTAGCAACAATCTTGTGCCATGATAAAAGCATCTTTCTCCTTGTCTAACTGTTTGTGTGGATATGTGTGTGTCCTACAGAACTCAAGTGCAGACCACCGTGTGAGGCTGGACCTTGGCCTGTGGGATAAATTTAGCGAGCTGGCCACAAAGTGCATAATCAAGATCGTCGAATTTGCCAAAAGAGTCCCCGGATTCACGGGTCTTACTATGGCGGACCAGATCACATTGCTGAAAGCTGCTTGCCTGGACATTTTGGTGAGAGTTTATGCTGTTGTTTTGAGGAAAATTAGAAACAAATTACAGGGATTCTAAGATTATATTTTGTTAATGTCTTTTGCTAAATTACATTTAACATAAACCATCGTTTTCTAAATGTTTTACTCTTGAGTATGGAGTAAGTTGCACCAGCCAAAACATGAATAATGAAGAAGAAAAAAAACATATATATATATGTTGCTCTGGAGTATAAGTCACACCAACCAGCTAGAGTGCCCTCTAGCAGCTGCCAGTGGGAAAAAAACATTGTGCTGCAGTTAGAGCAGGGGTGGCTAAGTGTTCTGCTGTGGTTGCAGGTTTTTGTTCTAACCAAGCAAGCGCACACCTGACTTGGCTCTTTTAATCCACTGATCTGAATCTCCAAACAGCTGATTGGTCACTCATTGTGCTCTGAATAGGTTGGAACCAAAACCTGCAGCCACAGTGGCCCTTTGTGGAACAGTTTGCCGCCCTTTAGAGTTAGAGGGAACCATACTTGTTGCAGCACATCTGCTGTTAACACATGAAATTCCCCAGTGTGGGGAAATTAAAAATTCATTAAAAAAAAAAATCAAAAAATCAAAAATATTTAAATTCCATACTTGCCACACACGTGAGTTGTTGTCAATTACATGTTTTGAACGATATTAAGAGAGAAAAAGAAGAGATAGAAGAAGCGATGTGAGGACGGGACACAAACGCAGTACTCAGGAGAGACTCTATTTCAAGTGCAGAGAATTGATTTACAAAGTCCACAAATCACATGGACAATGATCCCACAAAGACAGCATGAGGGAGAAAGGTGTATATACCCAAGGCACCAGATGACATGAGTGAGAGTAATGACAAAGACACTGGTGAGTTTGGTCACACTGATTAACTCAACACAACCCCAGCAGAATGGTGGGTCTGTCGTTACAAAGTAATTGAATTAATTTAAGATGCAATTGCAGGGCACCAAAACTGCTCAGACCCTTCCTCAATAAAAAGTCCATTATTCGTAAAGCATATTTTGAGCTTTATTTATGGCACACTGGGGAAGTGGATGTTTTAACATCAGATCTGCTGCAACACGAGGCGCCAAGTGTGTGGTTTCTCTGGAGCTCAAAGCCATGACCTAGTGCATGTTAGGCAGATGTTTAAACAGACGTGATAAAAAGATAGCATAGCATTGTAGCTATAGTACTATAGCTATAGCCAAACAGAAATTTTGGCTTGCTGTTTTTAACTCGTTGCATCAGGATTTACATTTTTTACTGCAGGGATAAAAATAAAAATAATTGGAAACTATTGCAGGTTTATATAGCTGTGAAATAACAGCTATGAAATATTGCACATATTTTGTTTTTATAAAAAAAATAGAGACGTCAGTGAAAACCAATACATTTCTTGATTTCTGCCACAAAAAGAATTTAGTTTTTATCGACCGCTTTGTCGTTAATGAAGGCAGTGGACTTTCAGCTGAAGCAGGGGTGAGCAGTCGACAGCTGTTGTGACTTTTTGGCTCCCAATATGCCGTCAGCATCTGTTCGCTAACACATCTCAGCAGAGAAGAGCAGGCTGTAGATATTGTGCACAGAGGTCTGGTGAGGAAGAGTCATATCAAAGATCAAACGTTGAGTTCTCAGTGTGTGTGTGTGTCAGTGTGTGTCCATGTGTGTATCAATGCAGGCCTGGCCAGCCGGTGTTGCTCCATGTTTTATTCTGTTTCATGTTACAGACACGGCTGCCACTCACTGTCAGAATCGTCCCACTCAGCTATCTTCAAAGGTTGCTGTAGGCTTCACATACGCCAAAAACATTCATTAGGTCTCCACACACACACAAACAAACACACACAAGCACACTTGGCGCAGCAAAGAACTGTAGAGTAGAGGTTTTTTTTTTTTTTATCGAGGAAGGTCATCGTTGCTGTAAATCCTCCTTCATGGCTAATCGCGTGGTGAAAATAAATTAGCTTTGTTTGAATTATTAATCTACATATTAATTACTAGCAGAGCATTTTTACACATCATATAGCTTAATCAATAACTTTCCTAAAACTACATTCTTTAGGTCTTAGTACCATATTTTCCTATATGGTAAATCGAGTATAAGACGCATCGGCCAGATGATGACAAAAAGTGCCACTTACAGGAGTAGCAGATACTGATACACAAGAGAGTGGTTCCCTAGACTGACCTCTAGCGGCTGTCAGAAAACAACACACGTACATTTTTAGTGGTACAGGAGTAGCAGAAACTGTATATACAGACCTACAGTACCGTCCAGCGGCTGCCAGTGTGAAAATAACAAACATATGAAATTATATTAATTTTATTCATTTTAATATATGTCACACCTGAGTATAAGTTGCAAACCCAGCCAAAGGATGACAAAAATGCGTTGAGTTATAGTCCAGAAAATATGGTAGTAGTGATGTAGATAAAGAAGGAATATTTTAGTAATATTATTTATAATAAACTTTATACTTGTGACAAATGATGGTCTAATGGTGTCTTTCAGAATCAGTGAATCCAAAATAACAACGTACAGCAAAATAAAGTGACTTGTGTCCTGTATCCTTCCTGCCATTTTGACAATTAGTGAGACAATTAAAACAAAAAGTAACAATAATAAGTTCCCTATAATGTTTATATGGTGCATTTATTGTCCAAAACCTGACTTTTAATAAGAATAAAGTCAAATAAAACCAAACCATCCCAAACAAAAGAACGATCCGTATGAACAATTCGTGAACGAACTGGCTGTCACATGACAGAAGAAAGAGGACCTGAGGACGGACGCAGATTTGAGTGAGACGTGAACTAATAATTTCTGTTTCCTGTCCTGCTGACAGCTTATGCAGCTGCATGCCATGTGGCATGAGACGGTACTGCATGAAAATGAACCAATCACTCACTCATTACTCCTGAGTTATATGAAAGATTAGTTCATATTGAATGAATCGTTCACGGCCAACACATCACTACTCTGTAGGCACTCTATCATATGATTTCCTCTAATCCACAAAGACATCTCCTTCTGAAATTCTCTGAACTTTTCTACTGGAACTACTGAAGAAAAGATTGCATCTGTAGTACTTTCCTGGGTATGAAACCAAACTGCTGCTCCAACTCTTGTCCCAGCGTTTCTTCAACATCTATTTCCTATACCTTGATTGTACTATAGCCTAATGCCTCTGCAGTTACTTCGACTATGCAGATCACCACTGTTCTTGAAAATCATGTCATTTTCAATAAGAGCCTATATTTTTATAGATATGCAGTGAAATGATACCTATCAATTTAGCCTTCGCCACAATTTGAGAAAATCGACACAACCACGAGAATGTTTAACCAATGTAATTAAACAACAGAGCACATTAATAAACAACAAACAATAAACAAAGAAGAGGCTGGAAAACATTTTTGATCAGGAAACCCCTGCTGACTGAGACTTTGTCTGCCTTTGTCAGATTCTGCGCATCTGTACAAGGTACACCCCTGACCAGGACACCATGACCTTTTCGGATGGGCTTACCCTCAACCGGACGCAGATGCACAACGCTGGCTTTGGCCCTCTAACTGACTTGGTGTTCACGTTTGCAAACCAGCTTCTCCCTATTCAAATGGATGACACAGAGACCGGTCTTCTCAGCGCCATCTGCCTAATTTCCGGAGGTGACCAAGCAGAACCAGTGTGAAAATAATGAACATGTAAATTTCAGTGGTACAGTAGTAGCAGATACTGATATACATGCCTAAAGTGCCCTCTCGTGGCAAAATTTGACATTTCTTCACATTTTAACCCCCGTGGGTGGCCTGGTTCCTTAGAGCCATAATTCACTTATGCTTTGGTCAGCTAGGTTTTTCTTTTATAAGACCTTTATTGGGTCACTTGCTGAGCTACGGCCAATTCTAGCTGTCATCAGGGGAGAACAGTATACACCATGGACATGCAAATCCACATGTACGTCGAAGAAAACACAACTCACATTCATACTATTTTGGACTTTGTGGGGAAGCCAGGAACCTGGAGAACACTTGAACAAATAAATCACATGCTGCTTGCACTGTGGTATTCTAGTTTCTGCAAGTCTCCTGTATTTGCATGGCCAAAAACCAACATTATACAACCTTGAATGGATACTTCAGGTTTTGTAATATGCTATTAGTAAGCACTGACTGAACAGGAGGGCACACCCTCCATGCCCTATGCCAAATAACAGCCCAAAACCCGCGTCTCACTAAGGAATTGGCTTCCAGTAGGAGAATTACGATTGAAAAAAATCTATTGCATCCTATATATGCGTGGTCTATGATAACACAGTTAATAATTATACATTTCAGCTGCCAATTAAGGCAAGTATGCTAATAATTACCAGTAAAAAGCTTTACTTTTTCTCTTCAACATGTTAAATCACTGTCATTGCAAATATTACTGGCTCTTGCACAATCCAGGAAAACCTGCTTTCCATTATAATACTCCTAATCCTGCATCTGATTTCTCTGCCAACACTGCCCCTGGGTGGACAAAATGTGAAATATTCATTCTAAAACGTATGAGTTCCTGTGCACCAAATGACCATCATTATATCGTGGAAACTGAATAACTAAGCTGGTCTTGTGTATGTTATAAAATCATTAGATCACATTTATTGTAAATAACAGATTTTCTCCATAACATCTTTGTATTAATATAATGCCTGTATTAGCTACATTATTATTAATGATATTTATATTATTAATTAACATTAATATATATAAGGCCGGCTGGAGTTTCCCTATGTCTTACCGAAGGTTATGGGTTAAAATCCAACAAATTCCCAATCCCATGTTGGGTTACGTCAGAAAGGCACAATCACTGTCTCAACTGTTGATGAAGGGACAGGCCCAAAGTGAATATGAATAAGATTTCATGTTAAAGAGGAGGTTGTCCTGTACATTAATATATTTAAGTCTGCAGTTGCATAATTTGCCAGAGCAATTTCTCAGAAAATCATGGATGTTATATACACAGCTAAACCATTTTTAGTTCATCAGGTGAGTTTTAGATGCACATTATTGAAACATTTTTTCTTGAACATGTAAATTGATGGGTGCATAGATGGATGGGTGCATAGAGGGATGGGTGCATAGATAGATAGATAGATAGATAGTAGATAGATAGATAGATAAATAGGTAGATAGATAGATAGATAGTAGATAGATAGATAGATAAATAGGTAGATAGATAGATAGATAGATTGATTGATCGATCGATCGATCGATAGATAGATAGATAGATTGATTGATTGATTGATCGATCGATCGATCGATAGATCGATAGATAGATAGAGAGATAGATAGATAGATAGATTGATCGATCGATCGATCGATAGATCGATAGATAGATAGAGAGATAGATAGATAGATAGATAGATAGATCTAAAATGTTAGCCTCTAGCTATGAGGGAATGGGCAAACTAATGCCCGGGGGCCAGATGCGGCCCGCCAAGCTTTTCCAAATTATATAATTTATCTATATTTCATGTGGCGCTTTGGCCCAGAGGCAATGTCTCTTTCATTCACACTGCCCCTGGGTGGACAAAATGTTCGTTCACGGTGCTGGTACGGTGCAGTATGATTTGGGTGGCGGTCGTGGAGACTGCTGCCTCTGCGACCTGGTAACGAATAAGCGGATGAAAATGGATGGATGGATGGATTTATATTCCATATAGTATATATCATTATACTTCTGCCTTTTCCCTGCAATACCCACGCTTCCCCAATGGATGGCATAGAAAATGCTAAAAGCATTTTAGTTTTTATGCATGACTTTATGTCATTTATCTTAGTTCACACAAATGCTCCATCTATCTGCTCCTGACCCGGCCTCCCTGTTCAGTTTTAGGATAATTGTGGTGCGCGAGTCAAAAAGCTTGCCCACACCTGCTCTAGCTGGTTAATAAAAGTGAAGACAGAGATGTACTACAGCTGAGCTTCATGTCTCATTTAATATATTTGTGTGTGTGCGTGTGTGTCAGATCGTCAGGACCTAGAGGAGCCTGCCAGAGTCGACCGGCTCCAGGAGCCACTATTGGAAGCTCTAAAGATCTATGTAAGGAAGCGTCGTCCCAGCAAACCACATATGTTCCCCAAAACACTGATGAAGATCACCGACTTGCGCAGCATCAGCGCTAAAGGCAGGAGGATTTTCTTTTGTCTCTGTCTCATATCAGGATACCTAATGGTAATATTAATAAACTACTATCAAAAGTAAGAAGCTACATTTATCTTTTAGTTGTTTTTACTTTCATTCAGTATTAACATAACTGTAACCAAATATAATTTAGACAACAAATACATGCCAAAAGAGTGATCTAAGTTACTGGCGGACGCAAAAGTACACAATTTATTTATCAAACATTTTCAATGGTACAGGAATAGCAGATACTGGTTCACAAGCCTAGAGTGCCTTTTCTAGGCTGTCAATGTGAAAATAACAAACTATTTTAATATATAAGTTGCAACGGAGTATAAGTTGCAAACCCAGCCAAAAGATGGAAAAAAATGCTACTAATAGTCCGGAAAATACAGTAGTCAGTAGTCAGCCGGCAGCTGATTTTCTATCTATCATGATAATAACGGAAAATTTAATGGATAGTCTACCACTTCTGACTTTTCTTTTTTGGCTGTTTTTTCACTATCACGTTGCAGGAGTGGAGCGTGTTATCTCTCTGAAGATGGAGATACCAGGGTCCATGCCTCCGCTCATTCAAGAAATGCTGGAAAACTTGGAGGGTCAGGAAAACCAAAGCAATGGGAGTCTGAGTAGCATCGACCACCCAGATGAGGTTGATACCTCCTTAAAATCCCCGGACTCCTCGGAAACGGAGGGGCGTGCATCCAGTCCTCTAAATGATGAACAATAAAAGGGCAAACTGTTGTATTTCTGCACTAAAAACATATTTAAGGCAGGGCACACATTCCACCTGTGAAGACATTTTTGGCTTGACCATCAATTGTATTGATACCACAATAGCTGTTTGTCTGTAATTCACCTGATCCTCACCAATTTTCATGACAAAAAGGAAAATTAACAAGAAGGTGAAAGTTCTCACCACCAAAGAAAATCTTTAATGGTAAGTCTGTGACTACAACAGATGAGAGGAACAGCTCAAGAGGCTGCCAGAGAAAATACCCTGAAGGTCTCATTTGTAAATCCATAACTGCATGACCGGAGATGGATAATTGGTTCTCCCTTCTCTGCCTTTCTCTTTCTTTTCTCATGCCCGTTTTTCCTGACATTGCTGCAGATAAGTACCATTGTAGATACCATTGTTTCATGGTGAATTTTGTGGTGGTTATTATTGTCTTAAATATTATCTTTTATGAATATACAACAGGATGAAGTGTGGACAATTTGTCTACACAGTATTACCACATAGTAGAGAACTATTTAGCTTTTAAATTAAAGCTAAAACAGTTACGGGCTACAAACTTGCCTTCAAGAAATCCACAAACTGATCATGATTTTTTTCTTTTTAGCACTTACTAGTTACATAGACATAAAGTTATGATTTTTCTGTTTTCCTAAGAATATATAATAAAGTGTTAAAGTACCCGGGAGAGAGACATAGGTTAGTGACCATTAAACATGAACATCCAGAAGTACGGGAGGTAGGTATAAAGCCTTATTAAACAATCAGGTGACAGATAAGAAAATGTCAATTGTAGGTGTCTCTTTTGTAATGTTTTTTTAAAAGGATGTTACATATCCCCTTGTCAATACTAATCCGTAACCTTGTGGGCCATTTGAGCTGATGTACGTGCAACAAAACTCATATTTTTGTTTAAGTTAACACAATTACTCACTATGACACCTAGGCTGGTTTAGGTGAACACAATACTGAAACACTCACAGGAATTGAAGAAAGTAAAGAAAATTAATCGTATCGCCAGTTTCTGTCGCATAGATGAACAAAGACACACTATTTGCAATACACAAGTAATAGAAATAGAAAGAAAATACTCCAAATAATGTGCAGTCCTGTATGTAATGGGAAACCTGGTCACCCTTAACCAGCTGCCATATTGCATTGTAATAATTGATTTTCTTGAAACATAACAGGAGGTTATGTTTAACTGTTATCACGAGACACTGCAATAGTTGGTCCAGTGTTGGCCATATCCTTATTTGTACATCTTTGTACATGTGAGAGAAGTTATTTAATCTATTTTCTGCATATGTTATTCGTAATTAACAAACTCTACCATCTTGTTATGTATTCAATAATTAATGAAATGAAAGATGATTACATTTATCACCATCATAGTAGTCCAAAACCCCGTTGTCATCAGTCGAAGCTACTTATCTGGCAGGGTA